GTTTCCACTGAGATGTAAAAAGCACAGGCAGTAGAAGGCACAAATCTTTTTCCAGCCAAAGTGTATTGCATCTAAGATTTTTTTATTCTTTATTGACCCGATTTCTGCAAAGTTTCAAGGCAAGCAAAATGTCTGAGTTTTGAAGACTGGTTTATTGTCATATTTGCAAATAAGAAATAACTTACTCTTCAAATATTTTTAGGAAGTACAAAAGCATTATTTTTTTTGGCAGAGAAGAAGAATAAGCCAAACACACATCTTAACAATTTCTTCCTTAGTTTAGCTGTATAAAAGAGATGTTGTCATCAAAAAGAATATTCAGAACAAAAATGGTAGACATAAAATTGACTAAGCTTCTGGAATTGTGAAAGTTACTGTATTCATAATGATGCTGGATTAAAATTTCTTTTATTGTATTAAAAATAAGGATTTAAAAAGTAAGAATAGTGAAGAAATATGTAACAAATGTCCAAGAACTATTGAGAGAAATAGACTTCTAAAAAACTGCAGTCTCAGAAGAGAAATCCAGAATAATTTATTGCATTTAATGAAAACAAGCGGCTATGTGAATGAATAACTTTGTAGTAGAAAGCTATCAACTAAGGCTGAGCACAGTCCACAGTTGGAGCTGCACTTCAGTCTTATCAAAGATGACTGGAAGTAAAATGTGAGGCATAACTGCTTGAATGCCAAGAACATAGGTTCATGTGGAATCTCCAGAAGGTCATCTGACCCAAACCCCTGCTTAAGTCAGGTTCAGTTAGGGAAAGCCGCTAAGGACCTTGTCTAGTCAAGTTCTGAAAGATCCTTTTCTGCTTTACATGCAATTGGTCCCAAGAGCATGATGATGAATGGTGTTATTCCTTCCTCGTTGCCGTTACTGAACACTGTGAGGTTCCCGTCAGCCCATTTCTCCAGCCTGTCTAGGTCCTTTTGAACAGCAGCCCTGCATTCCAGCATACTGACCACTTTTTCCCAGATTGGTATTGCCCACTGACTTGCTGGATTACATGCAACCCATCATTCAGGTCATTAATTAGTACATTAAATAGTATTGACCACTGGTTTTGATTCCTGAACAACTAATTTTATTTGGCTGCACATTGAATTTTGTGCTCATAATCATCAGACTTTAAGCCTGTCTCACTGTCCATTTATACTCCATATCTTAGCAATTTGGCTCATGGCTGAATATTCAGCTAGTTGTAGGTTCAAACAACATTTTCTCACATAGCACGTTGATATACAGAGTCACACAGAATATTAGGATTTGAAAGGGACCTTGAAAGGTCATCTAGTCCAACACCCCTGCCAGAGCAGGATCACCTAGAGTAGGTCACACAGGAACATGACCAGGCAGGTTTTGAATGTTTCTGGAGAAGGAGACATTTAGGCCATGGTGATATTTTATGTTAAGGCAATAATTTACTGTGTTTATCAATTTGCTAGTAGATAGACAAGGGCATCAATTTGTGAGCTGTGCTGTACTAAAGAATGCATCTGTTGGTTCATCACCAAGCAGTATTTATCCTCATGTTACTAAAACTATACCTTCGTTAAACAAATAACAAACAGACCAAATATTTACTTTCTTCTCTATTGGTTTCTTATTATGCCTCTCCTCCTTTCCTTTGTTAAGTAAGGTAATTTCTACTATTCAATCTGGACAAGTAAGTCAAAATTATCAACAAAATAGACTAATGAAAAAAAGAAAGTGAACAACATACTAGTTGAGTTGCATTAAACACTGCCGTACTTCTTTTTTTGAGAGATACACACAGAGAAATTGCTTTTCTGAGAGTAAAACACAACATTATAGGTTGCCTGTAAGCTTACTGAAATGTGAAGTAAATTGTCCTACAGATCAATAAATTCTTTCTGTACTATAATGACAGATAACCCATATATTTTATTGAAAGATGAAGATCACCTGCATGTATTTGAATAATGTTTCAATTAGCATAGATTAAAATCCAGAAAAGAACCAAATCAACCTCTACAGAATCTTGATCTGTAAGCCAGCGCACAGCTTCTCTAGAACAACTTAGAGCATCCCTGAGACTGTTTGAAATTTCTGCTTTACAACATCTCCTGGAAAGCTGCGATGCTGGGAGCAGAGGAACAATTGGTTCAAATTGGACAGATTTGGTAAAAGAGTTTTGATGTTGACCCTGATCCTCAGGTCTTCTAACTTCCCAACCAATTTTTAGAGGTTTAAGACATAGCTTACAATAAAGAATCATAAATTCACAGTATACCCATTGCGCATTATTTTTAATGTCCTATCAAAATGTATTAGATGCCCACAGAAATGTTCAACTGAACCTTTAGCTGGTTCCCTGACTTTCCAGTAATAAAGTTTACAACGATTTAGTGGTTAGTAAGAACAATTCCAATTTCCACTGTTAGTCTAAATAAATGTCTATAATATGTTTTATCCTCTTACCTGTTTGTTGGTTTTAGATAACATTGTTTGTAATTACCTATTTGGTTCATGTCTACATCAGATATCTTCAGGCTGTCTCTGTGAAGCAGTGGTTAAATACTCATGGGGAGACATCTCTGACCTTATGATCTAGGAGTTTTTCTTTTTTAACAGTTTTCATTCCATTATTTTTTCGGAAACATCTCAGTTCTACAAATACTGGCAGATAATTAATGATTTCAAATATTTGTTTTGTTTGAAGTTTTAATATTTCAGAATGTTTGAAGCTCGTATCAGTAAAATGATTTTTCTGAAACAGATGGTTAACACTTGGGGTGTGATTATAAAGCAGAGTGTACTGTCATGTGGATATATTTGAACTAGCTTGACTATTTGGAAGTCTCTAATTAGTTCACCCTATCATATGGGTTATAACACTTCCAGTTCCTGAAGTGGTTTGATTATGTAACATATTCTTTATGACCTCTACATAACATATTCTTTATGGCCTCAACCTTTTCCTTTTCGGAATGCATTAGTCAGAGCAAAAATGTCAAAGGACCACATTTCACATTTATTTTAACAATAAGTAAATTCCAAAATGAATCTCATCCCATCACTATAATTTTATGTATGAAATGAAGCAACCAGCAACATGAAAGTGTCAGTTGACATAATCTGCAAGCAGAAAGCATTACAAAAATATGCATGGCAGATCATTTGCTTGGAAATTTGTGAAGACGGTTTTTATATGCATATCAAAGAATTGCATCAAAGAATTAGATATACATTTTAATTGGATCGACTAGCAAGCAATATTCTTGTTACATCAGCATTGGCATTTTCTGTTTTACAGGGTAAATTTTACTTTTTCTCTCATTCTGCTGGACATTTCTTGTTTCTCTTGAGATTTCTCTAACGCATGGACTGTCGCCCCTGCCCCCCCGGGAAACCTCTCTTTTTGGACTAACAAAGTTTAGCAGACTCATCCATCCTTCACACACTACTGTTTGTTTATTAGTATTATGGGCCACTATTACCAAAAAAATTCAAGACTATAAATAGGTATAGGAACCATTATTCAGAGAATTAGATAAATTTATTATAATCTATTTTCTAAGAGGTGTCTAAAGTTAGTTAGTTGTAATTTAGTGATCACAACCATTCCTTCTGCATTTGAAACATTTGTACATTCGTAATTCTTCTATCCATCCAACAGATAATGTTTTTCTGCCAGACCGCATGTTCAAATTTTGCCTTTCTCTTTCTACACGCTTACTGAGGGTACCTCGGCAGTCATGCTAGCTGGTTTAGACTCAGAAAACTGTAGCACCATGTTAACTTTGATATGTTGCATCTTCTGATCTGCTCTGGTGCACCTGTGTTGCACTGTTGCATTCACTATTGCAGAATGCTTAAGAGGAATACAGAGGAATCTCTGTAGACTTTCAGAAGATATATACCAACAGAAGTTGTCTTTTGGCTCTCTTTTCTGTTTTGGTGCTTGGCCTGTAATGTGAACACTGTGACTGTTGGGTGGGGGGGAATCTGGAGGAGGAGGTTATTTTGATGGGTTTTTGGTATGTACACACAAAAGAAGAATGTGTATTCTCATGTAGGTTTCAGTATCCCTGCTGTGTTACAACACTAACATTATTGGAGAAAATTTCTTTAAGATGCCTTTCTGGCCTAGTTTCAGACAGAAGTTGAGGTTTATGTAATCATTTTGTGTCTGTTTACCAATTTTTTCTCCTTGTGGAGCCTTCCTGTCCTCCAGGCAACTCTGTACCTGTAGAAGATTTAATCCAAAAGGACAAAAAAAAAATTAAGAAAATTATTCTTCAGAAAAGTATTTCATTTCTAATGATTAATGTAACAGGTTATAGAAACACTGAAAGGAGGTCGTGGTTGTTATAGATGCTTTTTATGGGCACAATTGTGTAATACTTTTATGTACCCATTATGTTCAACTTGCTTTACCATGGACATCAAGTAAAATTTTTGTGCAAAGAGTTTTGTGCAGCAACACAACCACTACAAAATGGTTATGGTAAAATATCAGAAAGTATTGCATTTTTCTGTAGAAGAAAATAAGAATTGATTGGATGTTACAAAATGTCAATGCAATATTGCAAAACTGATTGGATCTCAGAAAAACAAATTATAAATGTAACTTACAAAGATTGTCCAGTTCAGAAATAGTCATTTGACTACCTATTTGATGGTAAGTTGGTGAAGATAAATATATTTTGGTTATGGAGAATATAAACTTGTAAAATACTGGTGTGAAGTAAGCTTCAGAGTTAATTTCTGTTATGTGATGAACAGCAAAAATAACTGTGAAAACCAGTCCTACATTAGGTAATTTGGATTTTGAATAGGGAATGAATCATCACAAGTAAAATACAATTCCCTTTTGAATTCTTTCAGGAATCTAAATAAGTTCATAGCTTTATTTGTCAGTTTTGCTTATGAAATACTCTTCCATTTACTCAGAAGTATATCAAGCACATAACAGTCTAATTTAGTTTGGCTAGAAAATGTCCAAGCTATTGTGTTCTTTTTTCCCCTTCAGAACATTATCAACTATACGTTCCTGAATCAGCTCAAGTTGGATCGGCAGTTGGCAAAATAAAAGCAAATGATGCAGACACTGGTTCAAATGCGGAGATGAAGTATACAATTATAAATGGTGATGGCGCTGGGGTGTTCTCCATATCTACTGACAAAGAAACAAGAGAAGGAATTATTTTGCTGAAGAAGGTAAGCAATAGATTTTGAAAGTTCCCTGTGTATATATTTAAAATATAGTGATGAATGGTGAATAAACAGGTAGCATGATCAAGATATTTTACTGTGTAAACCTATTGAACCATGAATTTCAGCAGCTTAAGCTTCATGTTCCTTCCTGAGACACTTTAATTATTTGCAAGAAAGGAAGGGAGAAAAGAAATTCAAGAAAATAAACAGTTATTTAAATCTTCTCTGCTTTTTGAATGGTCATATCTAATCTTTATAATAAACTAAATCTCACTGAATGTTTTTATTAAGACTATTTTTTCTGAATGATGGTTTTGCACATTAAATTTCTTAGAAAAAAGTAAAGCTTGGCTGAGAGTTATACTGTTGACTCCAGACTGCATGAATCTTGACATAGAAAGTTCACGTGTGGCAATTCCAGGAAGACCTTATAGCAGCCTCCCAGTACCTGAAGGGGGCCTATGAGAAAACTGAAGAAGGACTTTTTACAAGGATGTGGAGTGACAGGACAAGGAGTAATGAATTCAAACTAAGAGGGAGTAGATTTAGACTACATATTAGGAAGAAATTCTTTACTATGAGGGTGATGAGACGCTGGAACAGGTTGTCCAGGGAAGTTGTGGATGCCTCCCCCCTGGAAGTCTTCAAGGCCAGGTCAGATGGGGCTTTGAGCAACCTGATCTAGTGGGTGGTATCCCTGGCCATGACATGGGGGTTAGACTAGATGATATTGAAGGTTACTTACAACCCAAACCACTCTATGATTCTATGAATTAACATATAATTCAGTTTTTATAGTCTGTTATGCTTTGACTTTCTTGACAGATGGCATCTGAAGGGTCAAGTATTGTGCACTGTGTAATGTAAATATTGACTTGCTTGTAAAGACTCAAAATATAACTGGTCAAACCATCACACAGTTATAATTAATATGAATTCCCTATATTTATCCCAGTCTGTTTATACTATTAATTATAAAGTGTTATTGCCATTTAATTTCATTCTTAACTGAATTCCATGCACAAATCTTATTCCGTAGATAATTTAATCTCTATATTAAGTCTGCTGAACTGAGTTCATAGTGAACATTTCCTAAAGTGTCTGCCAATTCATGCTGATATTCTATCTCTAGATTTAAATTTACTTTTACAATAACTCAGAGAGACGGGTACATTAAATAATGTTTTCTAAAAAATAAATCTTTCAAACAAAGAGAAATAATTTCTTGATTTCGGTTTTCACTTGGACTAACAGACATCAGTTAGCAATTCTCATATGGAATTGTTGTTACTGAGTCTTGTAGGCATCAATTATAACCACGCAGCCTAAAAGATAAAAGTGAATTGGTATTCATATTTGGTAATATGTATTCTGGGCCTGATTAACAGTAGAAGGAATGAAAACCAGAGAAAATATGGGAAAAAGAATAATTAAAAACTATGATAAAGAATGATGAGGTTTTTACATCTGAAGAGACATGTTTGTATGTAAATTTTTATTTAATGTCTCAAAAAGATTTAGCAACTGAAGAAAATGTTATTTTTGTAATTCATAATAATTTAAAACTGGTTCCTAGTATCTTAAAAAGTTTTAATTTGGTGTCTTTTATAGAGGTTGTGTAATACTACCCTTTTTAAATCACATAAAAGTAAACTTGGTCTTTTTTATAATACTGAAGTTATTTCCTGGTGGCCTTGATGTAGCTAATGCCATAATCTGTCATTTCTTCTTCAAAATGAACATTATTCTCTGTTTAAAAGTTCACATTGACTATTGTTCATTAAATACCACATTTATGCCTATTGAGAACTTGAAGCAGAAAGGAAGAATTTGCAACAAAATGAACAAGTCTATATATAAAATATGTAAAATCACATTCCTTACTGTTTTTGGCAGACAAAATAGATTCAGACAAATTTTCAGTATGTTTTAGAATTTGACAAAAGCATATGTTGCCTGCTCTCATACAAACATGACAGTGAGTCATTTTCCCATCAAGACAAGAAGGGGTACATTTTGCTTAGGTAATGTTTTATTTCAGCTGAGTAGAAATTCAGTGCTTAAAGCTGCATAAATTGGTGTGCAATGCTTCCATTCTTTCCTCAGAGATGTTATACTATCCCCTTGTACAGTACAAAAAGGTAATCTCAGTTTTTAATTATTTTTTTTTATTCAGACCTTGCATGCAGTTTAATAAGTATTTTATATACTGTGTGCTATAATTGCTTTCAATTTAGATTGGGTTTGAAGCTGAATTAGTTTAATAGCCTACTCAAACCAGATAATCTCCACTAAAACCAGAATCGGTTTTATTTCATATATCAGATGCCAATACCTTCTGTAATAGTGGGATAAAATTATTTTTCCTCTTTCTTATAGTCCTCTGGAATAATGTATGGTAGGCAAATCAGAAAATCCAGAAGTAAATATATTATTGTGCCTGAAGATCTAAAGTCCTTCTCAAATATTTTGAAACTTCACTTGTTTGAGGTTCTGATGCAAAAATCAGATTTCTCAGCGCTTCCGTGCTAGGCTGATCAACAGGAGTGAAAAGTTTGTGAATGCTGAAAGGAATCTTTTCTAGTCTCACTCTGGGCTGACACTAAATGTCTGGTACTTTCATCATCTCGCCTATTGACAAACCCTGCAGAGCCACCCTTCCATCTGAAAGATCCTGCTACATAGGTTTTGGAAAGAGTCATGAGGGATTTCACCTTTGCTTCATGCAATTCTCTTTTTGAGTGGAAACCAAAACAAAAAAGTACAGTGAAAGCCATTAGGTTTCCTTCAGAGAATGCCTGGTCAGCATGTTTCCCACTTCTTGTGACTTTTGGAGAAGTATGCTAGCACTTTCCTGACCTCAGATCTTCAAGTATTACTCAAGCTTTCCAGAAAAGTAATAGTCTGAACAGCCCATGTCTCTCCCATTTCGTATAATGAGATGGGGGATGTTCAGGAAGTAGTTATATACCTCTCATAAAATTCTGCTATTCCTTTTGGGAGTCTGATATTCGATACACAAACTTCAATATAATGAACAGCAGTATATTCCAGTTAGCCTTGTGCCTGGTAACTTGAGCTACATTTAATATTTTCAGGTTTACATGAAAATCAGAATATCTAATTAATACATACTGAAGACATGTGAGTAATGGTTGTGGAAACATATTGTGCTTTGGGAAAACAAGAAACATGAATAAAAATTCTGGTTAGGTCTATCTAAAATTTGAATTTTTTCTTTTTTTTCCAGGAAAGAGTTAATAAACTTCAGTGTTGGGACAATTTTAAAGAAATGTAGAAATTATCATCTATATTTCTAGAGAGACAGGATAGTGCTGGCTCTCTTACTACATTGGCTACAGCTAATGACTGAGATAGATGACTGATACTCAAGGCCTGTGTGTGAGTTAAATGAAAGAGAATTTAACCTTAAGTTTTACACATTACAAGTGAATGACTTTACAAGTCATTTATTTGAGTATTTACTTCTCTTGGAGAGAGCAGAGGTTTAGAAAGGACAGAGCCACATTGGTTTTTTGGGCTATTTGGAGTTAAATAAGTCGTATTGTGAATCTGATGAAAGAGTTGAAGTATTTCCTTTGTAAACAAAAGTCATTTTGCATTATCGTTTTTATGCTTGAACTCTTGCTGAGAATAGGTATTTTAGGATGGGAGTAAAAAACTCCTGCTGGTAAACAGCTCAGATTGCCTGAAATAATGGATGAATCTATAAGCAAATTTCTTACATTAGACTGACTATAAATGGGTGCCCAATTTGTTCTTGAAAGGTAAAATAAATGCCAATTTTAATACATACACAGTGTTTAAGCAGAACCCTAGCAGTTTTGTAGATTCAAATTGCAACAAGATTTCAGTTTTTTAATATTTTATGAAAAGCAAAAGGAAACAACTGAACTTGCGAGTTGTTCAAAGATGTGGAATATCACAGGGCATACTTTGCTTGTAAATTTCCTTACATCTCAGGAGAGAACAAGGAAAACAAAAAAGAAATGCTAGTATTTGCAGCCCCTGGTAATTATAATCCTTAGTACAGTATATGTCTTTTCTGTCTAAAAGAGCTCAATATTGAAACTACTGTTGTTTATTCACATCTGTGAATCACAGTGCAGAAGTGTAAGCTCTTTTTCTCTTATGTCCACATATCTGATTCTTTAATTCAGAGACATATCACAGTTTAACCCCAGCCAGCAACTAAGCACCACCCAGCTGCTCACTCTCTCCTCCAATGGTGATTTTGGGGGAGAGAATCAGAAGAGTAAAAGTGAGAAAACCCATGGGTGAAATAAAGACAGTTTAATAGGTAAAGCAAAAGCCACATTCACAAGCAAAAAAACCCAAGGAATTAATTCACTACTTCCCATAGGCAGGCAGATGTTCAACCATCTCCAGGAAAGCAGGGCTCCATCATGCATAATGGTTACTTGGGAAGGAAAACACTGTAACTGTGAATATCCCCTGCTTCCTTCTTCTTCTCCCAGCTTTATATGCTGAGCATGATGTCACATGGCATGGAATGTCCCTTTGGTCAGCTGGTGTCAGCTGTCCCAGCTGTGACCCCTCTCAACTTCTTGTGCACCCGCAGCCTACTCGCTGGTGGGCTGGGGTGAGAAGCAGAAAAGGCTCTGACTCCGTGTAAGCACTGCTCAGCAGTAACTAAAACATTCCTCCATTATCAACACTGTTTTCATCACAAATCCAAAACTTAGACTCAGACAAGCTCATATGAAACAAAATAACTCTATCCCAGCCAAAACCAGCACAAGACATCACAGGAAGAAGAAGAAAATAAAGGTAAAAATCTACTTTAGCTATCATTGAAATGTCAGCTTTTTCAGGTTGTCTGAATGAATTATTCTTGTATTTCTAGACAATAAAAAATTGATAATAACTGAATAACTACAAAAAAAACCCACAAAAAAACCACAAGACTTCAGACTTTGTATTATTCCTCGTTTGTTTTCTTGGAGAAATTAATCTTCCTATACAGCCTAATCCAACTATTATCAGTATAAACTTAAGTTAATTTTCCAAGAAGGCATCATAGTTACGATTTGCAATCCTATTGTAAACTTGTTTAATCTGAGAATATATATGCTGCAGACCAATGCAAATTACTATTTAATATTTCCCTGCTCATAACAGAAATACAATGTAAAATACTGGACAACATCCAAGTTAAATTTACTAAACTTACATTTCGTTATGAATTCATTTAATTTGAGTAGTATACTTAGCTCTTTTAATATACTAATAGATTTATCAGGCTATGGTAAATTTCCATGTCTTTAAAACTTTTATTTATATATTCAGGAAAGAGAGACAGAGAAAGCAAAAAACAAAAGGGTTTCATGCCATTAGAGTTAAGAGAATGAATTAATTGTTCTTCAACACATAGAGGAGAACTCAAAGAAATATATAGCATATATAAATCCTGACTATTTTTCCTATACATCATCAGTCAAAGTTACTGTAGAGTTTATTTACAAAATACACACTAACACTGACAAATCACAGATTTTGTTCCTCATATTTCTTCCCTTCAGTACTGCTTTTCCACTTTTTGTGGTGATAGGAAATACCAGTTAAGCTTGAGGACTTGTACTGAGTTCTGTTCAGGCAGACTGTCAGGTCCACACAGAACGATATTAATCGTAGTGGAATTCTGTCATGCCATAATGCCATAATAATTTCTATTGTAAAAAAAAATAATTAAATTTCATGTGTATATAACTTCTTTTAGTGTTATGCCTATGTTCTGACACTGTTGGAAACTTAGTAGTATATATATATTTGTACAAACTGCCTGCTTTGCTTGGTGTAATAATAGATATTAACCTACCTGTCATTCTTTATCAATTGACTGAAGCTATACATTTGTAGCCCTGTAATAATTGTTGTCTGTCTCATTGCTGCTGGTGAAGAATTTAAAAGAACATTGTCTAGAATATAGCGATGCAACCTTTCAGATTACAAGAACACAAAAACACATGTTTATGTTGGTCTTACACATTTACTTTCCCATCTCTTATGATAATTGAGTGTTTTCCTGCAAGGAGTTGCTTTTTTTTTTTTTTAGTTGAGATTTTAAGAGAATAGATGCCCAAAAGAATTTTAGTATCCCTATCACTGTCTATTAAACATGTTAATTAAAGTTATGAAGTTAATTTAATTTGGGATACATCAGTCTAACTCTTGAAAGTATTTAGCACTGACCAATAAAAATTCAAAGGCGATACAATTCAGAGAATTTATATTATCATGGAAGAAGAATCTGGTGCTCATTCTAAACCCTGAGTTTTTCCAGAAATGGTACCTTGCCCACAGTTCCTTTGTAGAGAAAACCTAAATCCATCCTGCTTCATATATATCCTTCTATTTACAAGATATGGCAGAATATCACAGAATATTGTCCCTTTCCAGTAACATGACAAAATGCAGTTTAAGTGGAAAAGATGTAGTTAGCTTTCTAGCCGGCTAAACTGAAGCAAAGAATGGTATTAATATATCTTTTTCTTTCCTGCCAACAGCCACTCAACTATGAAAAAAAGAAATCATATACACTTAATATAGAAGGAGCAAATACTCACCTTGACTTCCGCTTTTCACACTTGGGACCATTTAAAGATGTAACAATGTTGAAGATCATTGTTGGCGATGTGGATGAACCTCCGCTCTTCACTATGCCTTCCTATGTCATGGAAGTTTATGAAAATGCAAACATTGGGACTACTGTTGGCACAGTAACAGCACAAGATCCTGACAGTGCCAACAGTTTAGTGAGGTATAGTAAATCCAAATTATACGGGATTGAATTCCGCTTGCTAAAGGGTTAATGAGATCTGTCATGGATGAAACTATGTCTTTTATTATAGTACATAAAGGGAAGCACAGGGCAGAACAGTGTCATAATTGGTCTGTATGGATTAGATTAATAATATAATCTTCAACCTTTTGTTCATCTGCACTAAAATTGCCATCTAGTTATTGGTCTGAGCATTGGTATATGGGCACTAGTTTCTGTAACAGCAAATCTCCCATTAGCACACAAAACATCATATAAAATGGTGCACTTCACTCTCCTGCTGCCAATCAGTATCCTGCCACTAGTTGTAAATCTGTTTGGGATTATAACAATGTTTTTCCCCTGTCATGCTGGTATGATGCCAGCCCTGTGCACACTTGGAACGTTGTAGTTTTGCCAGGTGCTTGTGCAAGACAGGAACTGGTTTAGGTATGTCTCTCCTCAAAGACATGCAGTATAATTATTGCTAAATTGTGTTTGAGGAGGAAGCCATTATTTTGTAATACGCTTCAGTTTTAGCGGGGTTTCAAAATAATAGAATGGGTGTAACAGTGTACCCCACTGATATTGCTAGGGATACATCATGTAATCTCCAACTGCCAGGTCTAGGGCAGAAAGAAGTGCTGAGAAGCAAGCACTTGCAGCATCAGATCCATCATTTGAAAACCTAGTGAGCATGCAACATACTAGGAAGGAAAGATTTTTATAGTCTTTTTAATTAAATTAATTGCAAAAGAAAATGTTCTCCTTAAAAAAAGAAGACTTCTGTGTTACTGCTCTGGGTAGAATACTTCATATAATAACAGAACTGGCTTGGAAATAGGTCATGGTCTGAACCAAGGAAATGAAATCATACTGGAAATACCCCACAGCAAGCTTGAAAAAGCATTGATGCCAGAAATATGCATATGGATATAAATTTGACTTCTTTTAAATTTAAGAGCATTTAGATTTAACCTTGAACGCTCTCATATTGGTGTTTAAATTCATTACTGGTTTAGAGTAAGGTCATTAATTATATGTTTTCAACTTTAATAGGATCCAATTACTTTTTTTACTGGATTCATTTGTGTGATGACTTACTTTCTAAACTGACAAACAGTGTGAGAATTTTGTGGAATACATGAATGTTTGTCCTGAAGGTCATAGTGGATTTAAAATGTTTCAGAAAAAAAATTCTTTATGAATACAAATTTGATGCTATTGCTTTTTATGACATAATGGTATAGTCTTTGTGGAAATCATATGAGTATATACTTGAAAAACTGTTTTCCTTAAGCTAATTGGGCATTTTTAGTCTCTTGACTCAGTTGAAATCTGCTGGGTATGTGTAACAATCTTAGCAAGATGAAACAATTTTTGCAGAACAATGAAAACATCACGGTTTTATGTTTCTCTTTTGCTAATACTCTTAAGATTCAAAATGTTTAGTGTCAGACAATATATACAATTTCTTAGTGGCAAATTATTACCTTTGGAAAATCGCCACTGTGTTATTTGTGTTTAAATAAATTAGAAAATTTCACTGAAAATAACTGCCAAGTGCTTGTAGTTTTAATACTATAATTCTGAAACAACAGCTAACACAATCAGATTAGTCATCATGGTAGTCTGGGAGTAAGAAGGACAAGTGCAGATTTGACTATAACTGTGCATTGACGATAACTTCCTCATGCAAGTG